TTATATTTGGCCACTTTTCATATATAATCATATATAACCAATTTATATATAAATATATATAATTATATATAAATATTTTTTCTCGGGTTTTTACTTTTGATCTACCTTTGTATTATCCAATAATTTATTGCAATCCAAAAAAAAAATTGCTTCTCTAAAATTTTATTCGAAAAATCAAAAAACTAAACATAAAAGTGTCAAATTTTTAATAATTTAAAAACAAATTACATTTTTTTCAATATAAAACTCAAAAAATTCTTCACCACAAATGAAAAATAAAATTTTTTTAACAAATTAATTTGGTATTTTATTTTAATGGAGCCCGATAAAAATTGTACATTTATCACTTAAATAAAAGTACTGCTTACAAACAAAAAAAAATTATTTTACAACACTTACTGATAACAGATGATGTATAAACTATTGAGAATAACACAATTAAAATAGAGTGAATTTTCATTTCAAATTTATAAATTTACAAGAGTAACTATTAATATATTTAGAAATGAAATTTAAAATATACGACAGTAGCTTAGAAAAACTTATTTGATTCACTGTATAACTTTAATCAGTAGTGATGACTGTGATACTGGTTACCAAAAGCTTACCGCCAACTGATTTTATACCTGGGAAGGATGCTGAAGATTGCGCACCCTCCTTTGGCCATCTCTCTTTTCTAATTTTCCCCTTTCTCTTATGTTTTTAGTTCTATTTTCTGTATACAGGATATAGCATATTTTATCTACTTTTCACTCTCAGAAAATCATGTATTTTTATGGACGTATACCTCTTGATATTTTACTGCTTCACTTGATTAAATAACAAAAAATTGAATATGAAGATTCGATCCAGTCTTCATAAAATTAGTATCTTCAATTTTCGTACTTATTATTTATATTTTTACATACTAAACACTGCGTCACTGTATTTATTTTTTTGTAAATTGATATTTTATCAGATTTTTCAAAGAAAAATTTTTTAAAAAGGTGAAATTCAAGAATTTGTTGTAGATAAAAACCATAATGGCGAAAATTTTTTATTTAAATTTATCATTTCTTATTATTTTTAGAACCATTCAAAGTAAATTCCATACCAGTAAAAATATCTCAATTATTGAATAAAGAACAATATTATTTTTAATAAACAATGAAGAATAATTATTAAACTTTCATTAAATAAATTAAATTTTCATTTTTATAGTAAAAATTTATTAAAAATAACTGGAAAAACTAAACACAATATTGAAACTGGTTTTAATGAAAATAAAAATATAAAAAAATATTTCAAAAATTCAAAAAAAGTAATAATTGTGAAAATTTTTGATTGATCCAATCTTTAAAGTTTCTTAGACTAAGAGAAAAAATTTCTTATAAAAAAATGAGCAATTATGTAATAAGAGATTAATTTGTTGAAAAGTTTTAACAATTTGATTTTTTAGCTAAAGAAATCATAATTTTTCTCACAATAATTTTCTTGTTGAAGAAAAATTTTTTAGATTTAGGAAAAAACAGTTTTGGATGAAAATTCGCAAGTTATCTATCTACAATTGATTTTTTCCAAAATATTTATAACAAGAAAGTTACTGAGAGAAAAATTATGATTTCTTCAGCTAAGAAATAAAATTGTTGAAAATTTTTAACAAATTAATTTCTTATCACAATGCCCATTTTTTTCAAAAAAAATTTTTTCTCTCAGTATAGAAGATCAAAGTTTAAAAAATGTTTCAAGTTGAATTTAATTTAAAAAAAAAACAATAAATTTATTCTGAAAGCTAAAAGTTCTTTATAAAAAATACTTTATTACTATGTAGACATAAACATGTATGATTTGGTAATAATCAAGCCCAATTACACGAATGGTTTATATGATTAGAACTTTTGAACTACGTGTCATATTCATAAATTAATTAGTTACATAAATAAGCACTAATATTTTGTAATTTCATGAATTTAGTCATTGCAATAAATTATATACGTAAGCATCGTTCAATTTACTTAATATAAATTTTGGCATGTAAGTTTTATTCTAACAAAAAATTAATTTCGCAGCGTAGTATCGTGAAGATAATAAAAATTTGCTCATTGTTTCATTTTTCACTCGATTTTTGTTTGCAAAAAAATAATTTGATAATGTATAATGTAATAAATAAAAAAATTGAGTCTTGGAGAAATAACTAAAATATTGTAATTAGTGATTGAATATTCCAAAAAAAGTAAATCAATTTATTCATTATACAATCACGTGGTTTTACAGTATTTAATGTGAAGTTGAAAGCTAAATTTATAATTCACCATCAAATATCTCTATTTTAGTTGTATTTGCACGCTTATCGTAATTACTCAAACAAAGTTACGTATATCCCATAATATAAATACAAACTCCTGTCAGAACTTTCAATATTGCTTTTAGAATAACAACTCACTAAAATTATGTTTTATTGTCGAAAAAAATATTGCTTTTTCACTGTTTATTTGATTTAAGGTAATAGAAAATGAAAATGAAGTTATCGCGAAGTTAAACTGCCGGGTGAAAGTTAGTCGTGAGAATTTTAGTGGTGGAAATATTGATGTTGATAAAAATATATATACTTATTAATTTATTATTTAATTAACTCAAATGAGTTATTGAAAAAAGCGAAACTTTAGTCTCAATAAAATTTTACTGACCAAAATCGATGAGACCCTTGCGTCTACGATGACACAACAAAATTTCTGGTGACAGAAGAGTCATTTTTCCTAGAAAAAAGAAAAATTGTGTCTATTATTTCATAATTAATTTCTTTTTAATATTAAAGGATCAAATTATTTTATATTGATATTTTTTGTCGAAGGAATTTAAACTTTTTGCACATGAAAAAATTATCATGATAATAATTTATATTTTTAACAAGACTTTTATTTATCAAGAAAAATAAATAATGACAATGCAACTCAGTAACTACTGTAAGACTCTTGATAGATTTTAAAAATAACATTCATTAATTCTATAAAACTCTATAGTGAAAGGGACGTTATTATCACGTTACGCAGCTTAATTTAACTGAATTGAAGTAATTTGCATGCATCTTTAACGCCTAAAGACTGTTTATTTGAATATAAAATACATGTGAAACACAAGTAAGCCCTATAAATAAAAAAAAAAAAAAAAAAAAAAAAACTACTATCTACTAAAATCTCATTACACTATTTTTTAACTATAATTTATATGCAACGGACATTATTTGTTCGATGAAACAACTACTTTTTTAATATTACATGTAGAGTTAAAAAAATTATACTAAAGTCCCAGTATGTAAATATACTAAGTTCAATTTTTTATTAATTTACTTATTTATACTTACTCCAGTTTGAGTTATGCGAAAACCAGCAAGTTTTCATATAAAACTATAAAGAAAATTGAGATTCATTCATAACGATTAAATTTTATTATGGCTCAGCACTTTGAACGAGATCATGAGTGGAAAAATATATTCTTCGATTCTATGTTTAGTTCAAGTATCAAGTTTTTTTTTTTTTTTTTAATTTAAAATAAACAATAAATATTTATAAATACTTAAAATAAACGAAATCAATATGACTAACAAAAGAACAGATAGAACAATATTTTTTCCAAGTAGTCAAGCTTTAAAATTATAAAACTTCCAGTTCTGTAAATTTTGATCTGCTGATAAAAGATGCAAAGATGCAAAAATTGAAAAATTTGTTAAGTTACCTAAATTTTTAATTTAAAATGTATTTAATTATGACAATTCTGACAAAAGTTTGCTTTCACTTTCTAAGTATAGATCATAAAATATATTTAAAAAAATCACTTACCTGTTATTAATTTAAAGTTTCTATGAGATAACTCGGAATTGAAAAATTCTGCAAGACTCAAATAAATATTTGATGAAACAAAAAATTAATCCACCCTCAAAACAACTAATAACTTATTTAGAATAAATGAGTCATTGGAATCTCCCCTTGCACAATTATGATTTAAATGTTGCGGAGTACACCAGTTTTGGAGTTTCTAATTATTTCGATGAAATAAATCATCTCATACTACGCAAGTGAAATATGACATTTATATAATTTCATTTTGATGTAATAATCCAATTAAAAGATTCTCGAACAGTTGATTATTTATTATTAACAAATGCTAATAAAAACCTTTTGTGTTTTTAACCAATTTTTTAATATTATTTTTTTATTTAATTAATTATATTCTTCATAGATAATTTTATCACAATTATCTAAAATTCTAAAATAAGATGACATTGATGAAAATAAATATTTCACAATACATTTAAAATAACTCACAAGATAATGAATTTAAATTTAAATTGAGAAAACTTACCTGAGCATTTCGTCCCAACCGTAATTAGATAATCTCAGGTTCGATTTATCAAATAAGACCTTACATAATTTACATTTATAAAATCTTATAAATAAATAAACTAACAAAACCCTCTGTTACATCTAATGTAAAAAACTTATTACTACTCCATTAGTCTATTAGTCTGTGTAATAATTTCTTATCTTTATATTTTTTTTTAAGTTTATCCATAATCATCTAATTATTTAATCTTGTAAAAACCTTATATGTATATAGCCGATGGGTGTTTATTCTATAAGGTACCAGCGGGTAATAAGGCCTAGCTAAGGGAAATTTAAAAAAAATCGAAAATATTGCATTTAATTATTGAAATGTAACATTAATTTTTATATTAATATATTAGCTACCAAATATAATGGAATAATGGTAATTTTCACCATAAACAAATATAAAATTAAATTTTTTCAAAAACCTTGTGAATAGTCCTTATTTTACTACGAAATAGTTATACTATACTTAATAAAATTGGTATTAGAGATGAATCATCACTTAAATTTAACAACAATACTTTTTAAGATGTTGATAAAAATTAGAACAATGATTTTAAATTATTAAATATAAAATTATAAAATATGCTTATTATTTGCTCAAACCGTTTTTTAGGAATTATTCTGCGCTACTTTAGCATATATATGACGGATAATAAAATATAGAAGACAGATGAAAATGAAGTTAGCCGACATTTCAAAATTTTTAGAAATTTTTTATTGAAAAAATTTCAATTAAAAAATTAAAAAAAAAAATTCACATGTAAAAAACTTGAAAAGCTACAAGTGCAATTTTTTAAAAATATCTTTTTAGTTGTAATTTAATTAATAAAAAAAATTAAAAATTTTTAGGCGTCTGCTAACTTCAGTGTCATGAAGACAGGGAACATTGTATTGGGACTCTATAAGCTTGTCGCGACATTTCTATGCTAGACGCTTCTACTAGAGAAGTCATTAGCGGAAGCGGTTATTTTAAATATCATTTCTATCACTTAGGCCTTATTACCCGCAGGTACCTTAAATAAAAAAAAAAAATGAAAGGCGATAAAATTTTTGAATAATTATTTATTTAATTCGACAACCCGTTAGTTTTTGGAGACATTAAATTTTTAACCAAATTGTTGTACAAATCAGCGTTGATTTTGATTAATCGTTTGTTCTCAGCAATAGATTCCATCAATTTAGCCTTAGCGTCGTCATCCCTATCAACAGATCTATTACTTTTTAGGTAACACTCAGGATTCAGAAGTTCAGATACAGAAACTTCATTTAAAATTTCTAAAACGTTGTCACCCTTATGACTGCCAGTCGTATTTTGGAACGAACGTACAAGTATTCTAGGTTTCAATTTATCAAGATGATAATTAGGATACGCTGGAGTCAACATCGCAGTAACGGCTGGTCCCTTCAAAGTAAATGTCCTCGTGATTTGTTGGCTCGGTATATCCCACAAATTGACATTTCCATCAGCACTTGCAGAAACAAGTGTAATACAATTAGCAGAAACCGATAGTTTTGTTACACTTCCAGTGTGTCCTTTGAACACAATGCCATTTTTCTGCTCCGACACATGGTACTCTAAATTCCTTGGTGGGTTGCGCATTTCAAACTGCCGAATATTTCCATCTACGCATCCGACAAATAAATTGCACTCAATTACATCCATGCAAACTGAAGTGAGTGGAGCGTCAAAAATTAGTGTTAGCAGCAGAGTTCCAACACAGGTGTCGTAAATTCTTGCCGTCCTGTCTAAGGACACTGTTACGAGACGTGCTTGCTGTCCAAAATTTCCCAGATAAAGGTCCTTGACTGGACCCGTATGATGTGTGAATTTATGAATATGAGTAGCATGTTTTTTATCATCCATCACACTCGTCAGTCCCCATAAGAACACCAGACTGTCTTCACCACCACTGCAAAAACGCGAGCTGTCGGAGCTAAAAGTTAAACAAGTTACTGCTTGGTAATGACTCGAAAATGTTCTCAGTAATTTTCCAGTCGACGTTTGCCAAACGTGTATATTTTCGTTAGTCGCTGCGACAACATAGTGTCCGTTTGGAGCACAGGCCAGCGCTGAAACTTTACCTGGTGTCGATGATGATAGACTGGAAACAGGAATCTGGCTGTTCAATGCCCAAAAATACAAACGTGATTTTTCAACATCTGCTGCTAACATATAACTCTCGCCGAGAATATCAACGCAGTGATGTTTTATAACAGAAGGATTCCTGTATGTCATCAACAGCGAACCGGTTGACGGGTCCCAAACTGATGCGCTCCATATATCACCAGAATTGTCACTTGTCACTAATACTTCTCTAGATGTTCGGATCATGTTTTATGATTTTCTGATATACTGCTGTAATAAATTTATGGGAATAAATATTTATTTGAAATCATAGGTTATGGTTGGTGCAATCCACGTGCAATCAACTCCAACTTACCTTAAATTTTATATTGCTATATATAGCAATATTTACTTTCCGTCATTTATGAACTTAATTATTATAAAAATAAATTTTTACAAAAATAAAAAATGTATTTATTATTTAATATGTAAATTAGTGTTGATTTAATTGATGATTTGTTTATCAACAAGTAAACACTTTGGTATTTGTGAGCATGCGTGAAATATCTATGAATAAAGGCGCAAAATTATGAGTGTGAAGTTAGCTGACATTAGACAATTACAAATTTTAATTTAAGAATCGATAACTTTTAGAAAATATCGATTATCGCAGCTGTCAAAGTGATAGTGGCGCGAATTTCAATTATTTTGATGAACGTTTTTTCTGAAATATTTATTTTCTAAGCTATAATTTTTTGAATAAAATTTCATTTGAAAACAATGACATTAAAGTTAGCAGCCGCTTGACAATTTTCTTTAATAAATATAATTTGCTCCGAAAAATTATCTCTAAAAAATTGGATTTTTTATTTTTTTAATATTCTAAATGATGAAAATTAAGTTAATCGATATTCCAAAATTTATAGAAATTTTAAATTAAACAATTAAAAAAAAAATTGTCACATGTAAAAAACTTAAAAAACTATAAGTGCAATTTTTTAGAAATATCTTTTTAGTTGTAATTTAATTAATAAAAGGAATCAAAAATTTGTACATGTCTGCTAACTTCAGTGTCATTCTAAATGTCAATTTTTTTTCTCATTTTCTTTGAAATAATTTATTTGTTAAAACAATTCTTAAAATTATAAAATATCTGCTAAATTAATTTTCATTTGAAAACATTAGAATTGTATGTCGACGAAAACAAATTAAATTCTGGTACCAGGTATTACATTGCTCTCTTAATTTTCACAAGTAATTTTTTTTATTTCACTCCAAAAATTATTATGTTCCTCGTTAAGTTATAAAAATAAAAAAAAAAAAAACGTCTTCAATAAACAAAAATGCTCTTTTTTAATTGGTAAAATTCAACAAGAACATTTTTTTTATATAAATTTTACAAATTTATAGAATAAATAATAATTTTTTACTCCAAAAAGTAAATTCCAATAAAAAAAAAAAAGTTGACATTCAATCTTCGATTAGTGTAAATGTAGCAGATATTTCATAAATTTAATAATTTTTTATTAAATAAATAAAATACTTTTTTTAATTGTTGTAATATTCAAATAGACAACTATAGTGTTACATACTATTGATAAACTGTTCTTTTCAATAAAAATTACATAATTATTTGCTACTCCAAGAATGTTTTTACCATTTGAATAAACGGCGACATAACTAGTTCGAGAAGCGGCTATCAAGGTGGCGTGTTAAATCTTCAAACCGCCAACATAGCGAATGCAAGCTCATATTTTTTAATGGCGGATGATAGTTGAGTATGTGTAAAGTGATATAAGTTGACTAAAAATTTTAATATGTTGATCTTAAAATAATGGTATAATTCTGTTACTACAATGTAAGAATCTATTTTGTTTACATATTATATTTATAATTGCTAAAAAAACATAATACTACATTATTTGACACAAATAATTGGAGTACTTAAAAAATTTTCAGCGTCAGTTATCCAATGGACGCACTAGCGTCACTCGATACTCAATTAAAACCGCACTTTTGTTGCCAAGTAATCTTGTTAAACTAATTTTACATACTTCCTACTCTAATTATATTTAATTATTCACTCACAATTTTTTTTCAGTGATTTCAATATTGTACTGAATAATTTTGTAAAATTATCGGTGTTCACGCATGAGTACCGGTACGAGTACATAAAATTATTCGAATTATTACAGAATTTATTTATCACATATTTTTCAATATGAAATATCAAATATCGTGAATATTAAAATTTGTGTAACCATCTTTTTTATTTTTTCGATTATTAATGTGTAGAAAAATTAATGAGTAAGTAATTTAACTTAACCCCACCCTTTTTGATTTAATGAATGATTTTACTGAAACAAATATTAATTACTTAATATTCTTAACTCAGAATAAAATTAGTATTTATTCGTTGAATTTATTCTCTTTATAATATTCAACAATCTTCTACAGTTAATGTTTATTAATACTCTGACTTAAAATTTGAACTCCAAAGTAAAGAATAATTTTTTTTAGTGAAATGTTAAACGTAAATGTGATTAATAATTAATTAATTAATCTTATTTAATGAAATATATTTCAATTTTTAGTCAACTGCAGAGCAATCTGTGAAAACATAGTTGACCATGGCATTACCTGCCAATTACAAACAAGTAGCTCTGTCTACACCCCCTATGGTAACTCCAAACCGTAAGTATTCAATTAAATTATTATTTTTATTGCTTTACTATTTTGTACATTATACTTTGTTTATTTTCGCAGAACGTTTGAGAGCTTCTGGTGGGGGTGGCGGTGGATCTGGTTCAAATGTAAGTACTGTGTCATAAAAACTCACTCAATTTTTATTTATATGCTTATAATTGTTTTACGTACTTACAGAAAGATTCATCAAGTCCTTTTATTCAAACTCCACATGGACACCCAGGGTTTACTCCACAGAAAGTTGGAAAAAATACTCCAGTAAGTTTGATTATTTTAAATTGACGGTTTTAATAATAAAAATTTTAATTTACGTATTATAAATTTTAGGCTGATTCGCGCTTACCGAAACCACCTAAACCACCAGAGAAACCGCTGATGCCATACATGAGGTACAGCCGAAAAGTATGGGACCAAGTAAAAGCACAAAACCCCGAGTTGAAATTATGGGAAATTGGAAAAATAATTGGGCAGATGTGGCGAGATTTGCCAGAAGAAGAAAAGACAGAATTTATAGAAGAATATGAAACTGAAAAAGTGATTAATTTATATTATCAATTATCAATTGATTTAAAATGAAAGACATAATATTAAATTAATATCTTTTTTTTGTAGGTCGAGTATGAAAAAAGTTTGAAAACGTATCATAATTCTCCTGCATACTTAGCGTATATTGCTGCTAAAAATCGTGGAAAATCCGGTAAGTTAATAAATTTAATGTTAATACTAATAACCAAAATTTAATTTATTTATTTTTCAAATCTACGTGTTTAGTGAATGTGATTATTCGTTTGAAAATGGTTGTTAGTGTTTAACTAGATTGTAATGTTATGGACTTGTATTTTTTATATCAGCATTATGTGTAGCACAACAAAGCAGTGATGATCGTGAGACTCATGAACGTTCCTCCAGTGGTGGTAAAGGTCAAGCAGCACAGGACAGACGAATAGACATTCTTCCCGCCGAAGATGAAGACGGTATTTTATCATAATTGATTATATTTATATCGCTTCGCACAACGAGTGACAATTAAAATAAATTATTTATAATATTTTAAGATCAAGATGATGGTTATTCTGTAAAACACGTTGCTTATTCACGTTACACTCGCAATCATCGTTTGATAAATGAAATATTTAGTGACACTGTTGTTCCTGACGTTCGTTCTGTCGTAACAACTCAACGGATGCAAGTACTGAGACGTCAAGTTCAGTCGCTTACTATGCATCAGGTAGTGATGAATTTTATTTTTGTTATGATTAATCGGGTATGACTATGTTACTAAAATTTCGTTTGTTTTTGTAGAAAAAACTAGAAGCTGAGTTACAACAGATAGAAGAAAAATTTGACGCTAAGAAACGTAAATTCATTGAAACAAGCGAAATATTTCAAGAAGAATTGAAAAAGGTTATTATTTAATCCGTCGTAAAGTTGCTATTTAATTTAAAAATTAACTTTTGATTCGTCAATTATTTTTTAGCATTGTAAACCAGCAGTTGATGACGATACATTTAACAAGATGGTAGAACGGCAATACGAGGTATTACGTCGTGAAAGAATCAGAGGCAGTGATGAAACTCGTTCTGATGGACCAGCATCTAGTGACTCAACACCCACCTCTACTCCTACACCAACACCAGCAACCATGAATGAAGATAATGCTACGGAGGTAAATTAATCAATTTTATCATATTTACAATTTAAGCCATTACCTAATTAAAATCTAACTTATTTTTATTTTATTTCATTTAGGTTGAGAATGACAGCGCTGAGAAAAAATTCCAGGAATCCGAGAAAGTGATGGATATAAAAAAAGGCAGTCCATCTCCTCCGTTTATGGAAGGAAAATTAGACTCTCCTGTGCAACCGAATGCCAATGCTGTAACTCCAGGCAATACAATGAATTATCCAGGACCTGTTAGTCCAGCTCATCATCAACCACTTTCACAGCAACAACATCAACAGCCACCTACTTTGATTGCACAACAACCGCAATCACAGCAAATACCACAACAGTCTCAAGTGTCACAACCGCCTCATCTTGCACCTCAACATCCGACAATTATTCCACCCCAACATCAACAACAACCACAACCACAGCAGCAGCCACAACAGCAACAACAACAACAACCGGCACCACCACCACCAGCTGCAGCTGCAGCTTCTCAGCATCAACAGCCGCAACCTCCGAACCACTCTCAGCCTCCTTCTCTGCAGCCTCAAGCACCGGCTCCGCAGCATCAACAACCACCGGCGTCTCAACACCAGCCACTTCAACCTACTTTGCAACATCAGGCGCCTCCACCGTCACCACACCAACACTCTCCTCCAGCTCCTCATCAACAGCCGCCAGCTTCACACCATCTTCCTACACCTCAGCATCAAGGAATGTCTCCACAGCATCAAGCTCCGTCTGCTCAACATCAAGGCCCACCTTCTCAACATCAAGGGCCACCTTTACAACATCAAGGACCTCCTCCTTCTCAACACCAAGGTCCTCCGTCTCAACACCAAGGTCCTCTGTCTCAGCATCAAGGACCTCAACCTCAGCATCAAGGGCCACCATCTCAGCATCAAGGACCCCAGCCTCAACATCAAGGGCCTCCATCTCAGCATCAAGGACCTCCATCGCAGCACCAAGGGCCTCCATCTCAACATCAAGGGCCTCCATCTCAACATCAAGGACCTCCATCTCAACACCCAGGACCTAATGCTCAACACCAAGGACCTCCACCTCAACACCAAGGGCCTCCTCAACATCAGAGTTTGGGTTCTCAACACCAAGGACCTAATCCTAATGCTCAACACCAAGGACCGCCGTCGCAGCATCAAGGACCACCTTCGCAGCATCAAGGACCACCTTCGCAACATCAAGGTCCGCCCTCGCAACACCAACAACCTATGCCCCATCAACCTCCACCTATGCAGCATCAACAATCACCACCGCCACCACCTCAACATCAACAACCGGCTCCCCACCATCAGCCACCACCACCGCAACCACCTCCACATCAGCAACAATCTCAACTTCCCGCTGCCTCAACACCGGGAATGCCAAATCCACCATCAACACCTCCATCTTCGTCTCCAGTTCCACCTTTGCAACATAATCCTCATCAGCCACCAAATATGATGCCTAATCATTCAATGCCATCACAAGTAATGACTCCCCAGGGCCCGGGTAATCCTCATGGTCCTCCTCCCATGATTCCGCCTGGACAAGGTTACTCTCAACAATATCAACCACCCAGTGGACAACCACAAGCACAAAATGTTCCGCTCGCACCAAGACCACCGCATCCATCGTACGGTTACGGCCAACAACCTTACCACCAACCTTACCCCCAGTATACTCATTCTTACTACCATCAACCATACTCTCAATATTCTCCGCATCCGATGGGAAGACCTCATCCCCATGGACCTCATAGTCCACACAGCCCTCACAGCCCTTACCATCCACAGTCACCTCACACTGTCGGAGATACTAATCCAAGTGGTAATGCTGTAGCTGGACCCGGTGCTGGCCCCAATGCTGAAGGAGGTAATTCTTCATACTCACCTGCTCCTAATCACGGTGAACCGGAACGACAAGGTCCACCGGATAATCAAGGTGATGGACAAGGAGATGCTAAATAAGCATCTATATAATAATAACTTATCATATTAATAATTATAATAATAATATAATAAATTTTAATTGTAAAAATAATTTGATAATTGTTAGTTGACATTTTTTTTATTGATTTAATGTCTTTTTTTTTTTTTTTTTTTGACAAATATACTTTTTACTGTTTCTGATTTATTAAATTCGATACTATCTTATAAAAAAAAACTAGCTTTTAAATAAACATCATTATTACGGGCTTTGAAAATGCAAATATATTGTTTTTATTCACATTAAAAATTTAATTTAATTTAATTGAAATGCAATTGAAAAATTTATTCTGTATTTCTAGTAGGTAAAATATCTATATAAAGTAAAAAAAATTGTATGATATAAAGTTGATGATTTCATTTATACAAATAAAAAATTACAACCAATATTTAATGGCAATAATTAATGACAAGCTTGTCCAATTTTTCACATCAATCGTGACATAAATTAATGTATAAATAAGACCTTAATTTTCTTTTTTTTTTTTTATTACTTGACGGGTTTCATCTGCCACAAACCATCGTTTAGATAATGACAATTTTCTACACCAACGCCTTTGTTTATTTTCGCTCTGAAACGAATTTCAAAATTTAATTGCTTGTATAATAATTACTAATTTAAAGTTATTGTTAACTTACATGTCTTCAGTTGATAGTGTAGTCACACCTACGGCTAAAGCATGTTGCTTTCCTTCCGCCATAACAGCCTTTATTTATTCATTAAGAAAAATAGTATTTTATTAAATAAAAAATATGTTTTATAAAAGTTATCAGATAAAAAAGGATACAACAACAGTTCCCTTTGACACTTGAGTCATTTTTGCTCCCTTTGATGTCAGACCAGGACACATAATATTAGCTCCACTGAGAACAAATTTTATTGCGCCTTTGTCAACTTGCTCTACTGGCAAGAAAAATGGATCTAAAAATTAAAAAATGTCATCTACAAATTAAAAATAGAACAATTTTTTGATATTATGTGATTTGTGTTGAAAAAATCAAAAAATTAATTAAAATGTAGTTAGCCGACATTTCAGAATTTTTAGAAATTTTTTATTGAAAAAACTAATTAAAAAATTTAAAAAAATAAATTTCACATGTAAAAAACTTAAAAAACTATAAATGCAATTTTTTATAAATATCTATTTAGTTGTTATTTAATTAATAAAAAAAATCAAAAATTTTCAGACGTCTGCTAACTTCAGTGTCATAAAAATTAATTGTCCAATACTTATTTTTGGAGTATAATTTAAAATACTTGCATTTGTGAAGAAGTTTTAGTGTAGGCATCCACGGTCCTTCTCGTTGGCGAAAAAATAACAGTTCTCCAGAACCATTTACCATAATTTCAATATGATCGTGACTAAAATTATAAAAAAAAAAAAAACAAGAATGAAATAAAACCATTATCATAACAATTGATAACTGATAAAAAAAATCACGTGTTACCATTTGACGAGTCGGAAAGAATCTTTTTTTGGGATTATTTGATCAATATGACTTTCAAGATACGGATATAATTCTAATAATTTAGACCGGATACTTTTTTGCACCGAAGATTTCAATTGTTGGACCCCAGAAACACTATCTTTCTCATCAAATCTGTAAACAATAGTTATTATGGGTTATACATTTACATACTTCATAACTTTATTTTAATATATGTAAGTACAACAAATAAATAATAATTAACAATATTAATTACTCTTACTTTTTGAACATCTTATCTTATTTATTCTTGCGCTTTCTTTATAAATTCAATAAATTTATAAATTTAAACTACACCACGTATACAGCAAATAAACAAAAATAATAAACCACATAAATTTATTATTTGAAATATGGCACCACTGTCACCATGTCAGTCTTTTTAAAAAGTTGGTAAATTTTAAACGCGAGCTACGCAGTCACCAGAAAGTAAAGCACGCAAAAAACAATTCCTTGGTAAAAATAAACATTCTTGTAAAATTCACTTGTTTTTCAATATTCGTAAATTAAAATTAATAAAATTCTACAGACAAACAGCAAGATAAATTTAAAAAAAAATTCCTCACTGAATCAATTAATTATTTTTCTTGAGTGATGAGAATAAAAAAAAATGACAGAATTACTTTCTAAAAAAAAAAAAAGTAATGAGAGGTGTATCTAGTTGCATTAACATTATCTTAGGTCAGTCTACAAGTACATTTGGTGTAGTATAACGCATTCATAGATATAAGTTTTATATGTAATACGTATTTTGTAAGCTTTGTAAGTAGAGCCATTTTGCGAGTCGTATAAAGCAGCTGTGTGATATTTTCACGTCCTTTACATTTAGAAATGTCAAATAATAATAATAATAATAATAATAATAATATTAATTTTTGATTGACAAAATAAATAGTTAATAACGTGTTGAGCGAGTATTCCCTCGTAATACATTTATTATATCACGTATGTACCAATAAATGAATTATTTAAATTAATGATATAAGAATACAATAATATTTTACGGAACAAAGAACAATCTCTTAATAACTTCATTAACCTTGGTGTCATCGTCATACTACTTACCAACTAGTGTGTTTCACCCTCATAAGTATTTTGTAGTTAAAAATAGTCATTTTTTTTATAAATGTCTCTGTGCAAGGCTAAATTTTACTTCCATTTAACAATCATACTTCCTTTCTTTCACTCCATTTGTGCTTGTCATTGCCCTAAATTAATAAAAACGTTTTTTGTCTTAATTTTTTTATCAATTAATCTACTTTTATAGACTAATGCCAAATTTATTTATTGTCTAGCTTATTTATTTCCTTTTACTTTATTTTTTGTTTTCACACAAACATAAGCTTGTAGTTATTTTTAATTATTTATTGTTACACTAGTTTACAATTTTTTTGTGAGTAAATATAATTTCTTGATAATTTAATGAATAAAAAAAAAAAAAAATCAAACATTCAAAATTTTTAAACAAACAAATTTAGTATCAATAAGAAAACTTATGTTTATATCTTTCAATATGTAACTTTTTTGTAATAATATAAAAATTGTCTTATGTATGCTATTTTTCTGCCCTCCGGCCGGAAAGTGGCAACTTTCTGGCCGCTGCGCTAAACAAAGTTGCCACATTCCGGCTACGTCGAGCAGAAAAATAGTATACACACCTTGGCCAGTAAAAATTAAAGCCTCAGACCACATGTTTGTCAACCTCGGCTTCGCCTCGGCCAACAATTACATGTGGTCTGAGACTTTTCTTATTTTACTGGCCTAGGTATGTAATATACTATTTATTATCGCTAGATAAAGATAAACTATTCAATACATAAGTACAGTGTTATGCTACTGTAAATTCAACTGATTTCAACATTGTATACTTGATAATTATTGATTATAAATAGATTTTTTTTTTGATTATACATAAATTAATTTAAAACATTATTTTAATATTTTTAGATATTATGGTCCATATGTTGGATTGAAAAATTTTATCGATGTGAATTTTTTAGTTAACAGCAAATTTTTTTTACTTTCTAGATTATTTTTATTTATTAAATAACAGTTATTAAATAATCGATTGATTAATTGACAAAAGATGCAATTAATAAAAAAATAATTCCTGTGATTTAATTAATAAAATTTTTTAAAGCAATTATGATAACAGCTATTTTATTAATTACTAATAATTGTTATTTGAATTTCCAGTTGAAGCCTTCGTGGCTGCAGTAAATCATCAAAAATGAGTAACGAAAATGCATCACTACCGGTAAATGAAAACGAAGATATGGATGACGTTGAACTTTCACCAGTTTTACCAGTATTTCGTAACTCGAATAGACCATGTGTAAACGTATGGATGGACAAAATGTCAAAAGGAATATTAACATCAACACACTTCAAAGAGCACTGGCGAATTTGGGTTCCTAAAATTTACAGTCCGGAATTAAATGGGAATTGCCTGACATGGAGCTTCAATGAAAGCTCAGCACAAAACATGTTATACAACACACTAGAAGAGTTCATCTGCAACGGAGACCCACGTGAGGTGTTAGACCAGCTACGTAAGATGGACAAACCACCGTCAGTTTGCGGTAAATTTTTTAAAGTTGGCGAGCCAACTTACATTTGCCGTGAGTGCGGAATGGATTCTACTTGCGTACTTTGTGTCGCGTGTTTCAAAGAATCAGCCCATCAGAATCATAAATATAAAATAGGTACGTCTCATGGTGGCGGATGCTGCGACTGCGGTGATACGGAAGCCTGGAAAAAAGATCCGTTTTGTAACATACATCTCGCTGGTTTGAAATACAAAGAATCATCCGAGAATAAATTACCTGAAGATATTGTCGAAAGAGCGACAGCGACATTTGAAGCTGTACTGAAATATTGTTACGAATTACTGTCACTGGATCATAATCCAAATTTACCAGCCGATTTAAGTGTAAAAGAAACTGACGAAGATCCGCTCTCTTTACTCAACACCAATGGTAATTACTGTACGGTGTTATTTAATGACGAAACGCACACATTCGAGCAGGTAATAAGTACTCTCGTTCGAGTTTTAAAATGTTCACAAAAAGAGGCCATAGAATTCGTAACAAATATCGACAGAAACGGACGCGCAGTGGTTAAGTGCTCTGATTTTCAACATTGCAGCGAATTAAAATCTGAAATTGAAAGATTTACATTAAGACTCAACAGCCAACCATTAAAAGTTCACGTTGTTCATGCACACGTTATTGCTCATCAGATATTCGCAATGAAACTGCTCGATTGGCTGCAACAGTTTATGAACCACTGTGAAGGTTTCAGAATTATTTTCAGCGACGTAGCATTAAATACAAAATTACCAGACGTATCAATTGTCCAGGGAATATTAAACCGCGATTCACAACTATGGAAAGCCGCAAGAACTGCCTGGCATCGTCTATTTATTTCTGGAATGTTAATGGAATACGAAAGTAAAAAAGCGCTTGCTATAATATTTACTAAAAATTATGGCGATGTTTTGAAAGAATTTATCCGCGATGATCATGATCATTCGTTTTCAATATCATCAATGTCTGTACAATTATTTACAGTACCGACTTTAGCTCATTTGCTTATTGCACATCACGACGCGCTTTTCATCCTTATAAATACATTCATGTCAGAAAGTTCACGGCGCTGTAATTCTGCTGGTAAACTTGAATTTGAAAGAAATGTACCAAACACATCATTTAAAAGAGCAATATTCATTTTAGCTGATCTTTTATATCTATTGAGCTCAAAACCAGACACGTGGACTGATGAGTTACGTAAAGGTTTCATTCACGGTGTATCCTTTTTACTAAAGTTATTGTGGAGTATGCAGCTCATGAATCCTGTATTGAGACAAGTAAGCCAACACATGGAGTACGAGCCAGAATGGGAATCAGCGTTCAATCTTCAAGTTAAACTCTCACCTGTGATAAGTCTTACTTTGGATTGGTGTGGATCTGACAGGACGGTATTGATAAAAACTTTCCGACAAGTTCTAAAAAAGCTGGCCGAGCGATCTGAAAATGAAACATCCCCACCAAGGATTATACGTGAACTAGCTGAACATTCGGCCTCGTGTATACAATACGACGTATCATCAGAATCAGTGTCAATTCACTTGCCTATATCACGATTTCTCGCAGGCCTTTTCCTTTATTTAGAAAAATATGATTTAAATTTCAATAGTAGCGAAATAACAATTCCGAATCGTCTAACAATGGAGCAAATAATAGAGCCCGTATTGAGGACTCAAGCGATGATTGCACAAGTACATGCTGGAATGTGGCGTAGGAATGGTTATAGTTTATTAAACCAATTATATTTTTATCACAATGTACGTTGTCGCTCTGAAATGTTGGAGCGTGACATTAATCTGCTACAAGTAGCGGCATCATTAATTGATAGCGATGAATTTTTAATTCATATTATCAACAAATTTAATCTTATAAATTGGGCAGATCCAGACTTTGAAACAAATACGTTAAAAAATCCTGAAGAAGATAGTATAAGACAAACGATAAATCTCGTTGAAGAGCTCCTTGGATTATTAATAATAATAATAGGTGAACGACATGTGCCAGGTGTAGGTCGTGTTACTGCTGATGATCGATTGAAGAAAGAAATAATACAACAGCTTTGTATTAAACCAATGTCACATTCAGAGTTGAGTAAAACATTACCCGAAGGTGCTCTGTATGAATCAGGTTTGGAACGAGTTATCAATGACGTAGCAGACTTCAACAAACCAGCACAAAATTCAGCTGGTAAGAGATTGTATGAATTAAAATCTCATTTATATTCTGAGTACAATGTATTCTTTTATCACTACACGAAAGAAGAATTGAGCAAGTCTGAGGAAGCACAGCGTAAACGTAGAAAGGCAATGGGTGAATTGGAGTGCTGTCCGCCACCACAACTACCGAGACTCACTGAATCCTTCAGTTTGGTTGCTAATTTACTACAGTGTGACGTGATGCTTCACATAATGCAGACGGTTCTTGAACGAGCGCGGAATTTACGAGCTCGAAGTTTCTCAGAGCCGCAAATCCACAAAATAATCCACCTGATTGGTTATGCCCTGCAAGAACAAATGACTGGCTATTATCCGTTCCTTAATTTTACAGAACGTGCTGCCAAAAAGAATATTTTCAATTTACTTGAAGAACTTTTAACCAGCCCACGTATCGATGCGCATAAAGATTTATTAACCTGGGCACTTGAAAAGTATCGCGAAGCAACGGGTAGTACGATTCCTCAATCTGAAGTATCTGCCGACAGTAGTCAAGCTTCCAACCCATCAGCGTCTGATAAGGATCCAGCTAAAAATAGTAAAGAATGGAGAACTCAAATGGCTGCTCAAAAACGTACCAAAGTAATGGCTCTGATGGCAGCAATGCAGAAAAATTTCATGAAAAAAAACGCTAAATTATTTGAAAATACCGTTTTAGACGTTAACAACAAAAGTAATGAGCATGGATCCTCAATGGACTTGTCTGAATCTCTCGAGCAGTCTCCCGTGGCTATGGGACCCAAGCAAACTCCCAGACTTGCTGAAGAAAAAACTTACACATGTATTCTGTGCCAGGAAGATCAAACTGTGAGTATCACCGGCGACGCGATGGTTCTCGCGGCTTTCGTTCAGCAGTCTACAGTACTGTGTCAAGATCGTGACGATATTAACGAAACAAACCCCTTGTATTTGTCATCAAAACTCGGCGCTTCGCCACACACAAGTACTTGCGGTCATGTAATGCACGCGTACTGTTGGCAAACATACTTCGACAATGTTTTAGCAAAGGAAAATCGACGACCGTATCGACTACGACAGCCAGCAAGCTTCGACGTCGAGAAACAAGAGTATCTCTGTCCACTTTGCGAGTGTCTTAGCAATACTGTACTACCATTATTACCGTCCTTAGCAACTCTACACCCGACAAAAGCCAATAGGATAAATATCGACTTTGAAACTTGGCTAGATGCATTGAGAGTCACCCTTAATTGTCGAGAAAAAACAAACATCACCGAAATAACAGACCTGGCGATGGAAAATAATCACGAGTCGATTTGTCGTTACTGTAAAAATTCAAACTTTCAGCATTCAACAGACGACAGTTCATCGAAGGTAGACACTATTGCTTGTCCTATTCGGAAAATATACAAAGAAATGGGCAAAGAAGTAGCAGCGGCGTTTGAGTTAAAAAGTCCTGAGCCAGAGATCCGCTTATCTGATCATTTAATATCAATGATCCACTTATTCGCTCAAACTACTTACACTAAAGGACTAGGCGTTGAACCTCATGAAGAAGATTCACGTGTGCCCCTACTGGCTTTCAAATCTACTGCATACACAGTCCACGCGATTGAATTTATGCTACGAGACTCAGAGAAACCACTGTTGGGTTCATTGCCGTCAAGACTAAGAGACAGTCTCGATTGTCTTGCCCGGACATCTGCTATCCTCGGACACACGTGGTCACCCTACAGCGACCATGCAAGACGAAGGGATTTCGGTACTCACGCTCTTACTCTGCTCTCATTGTTGATAGAAAATCCACACAATGAAAGTTGTTTCACCGAGTGGGATCCCTTTGGTATTCTCGTGCCGCTGTTGGTAACATTTCCCAGTCTCTTTGCCATAAATCCCGACCGATCACCCCCGATAATAACTGGTGATAATCACGAGTCACATTTATTGAAGCTAGTTTTCTTGGCACTTGTTACAAAAATAATTGCCACAAGTGATTTTGAGAGTAATGAAGCAATGGATGTTGATTTTTCAGAGGAAACTATTGAAGAAAACAGTGATGATGAAAATTGTGATGCTTTACTTGCATTAATGGACGGTATTAATATAAAAACAGGCAGTTGGACTTTAAATCAAATTTGGAAGAAAATAAAGGAAGCAAGTTTACCATTTTTACGATGCTGTACGCTCTACATTCATTATATAACAGATGTACCTGCTCCTCTAGAGCTTACAAATAAAGGCGGTGATAATTATGAGAATATTTGCGCTTACCTCGGCTTACCAACGACTTGTGATGGGTTATTAAATTCAGAAAGTGTACGTACACTTGCTAAAAAATGGATGGAACATCCACGAGCTAGACTACCAGTTAAAGTTAAGGAACCACTAAAAGTAAATAGTCTTGTTGAATTACCTGAGGATTACAGTGAGCTTATTAATTTGGTATCACTATTTACATGCCCGACTAGTGATCGTGAAGACTCACGTAATCCAACAATGTGTCTTGTTTGCGGTGAAATGCTCTGCTCACAAAGTTACTGCTGTCAGTCGGAATTAAATAAAACAACTGTGGGTGCATGTAATTATCATTCGAGCGTTTGCGGAGCTGGAATTGGTATATTTTTACGTGTACGGGAATGTGAGATACTATTTTTACGTAGCCCCAGTAGAGGTGCATTCACATGCCCACCTTATATTGATGAGTACGGTGAAACTGATCAAGGACTTAAACGTTGTAATCCACTTAGTTTGTGCAAGAAGAAATACAAACAATTGAATCAAATGTGGCTGGGTCACGGGCTTCATGAAGCTATTGCTAGATCACTTGAATCTTCAAGTAATCTTATATCTAATCAATGGCAACATTTATAACCATTTAAGGATTATTAATTATTATTATTATTATATATTATAAATAATCGTCGATTGTTTAAAAATAACCCTGATTAATTAAAAGAAATAAAAAATAAAAATTAACGGAGTGTGAATGAAAATTTGCATGAAAACAACAATAAAATGTTACGCATGCAAGTAGTCTGATTATATTAGTTAATCATGCTAAATCGTAAAGTAGTATGAAAAAAAAAAAATTATTATGTTGATATAAGGTATTTTTATTTAAAATTTTTTGTGTTTTATTTTACATTTTAAAGCTTTTCAAAACGTTTAGATATTTATTATATTTTCTCTCATCCGTTTGATCTCTCTGTAATAAATTTATATAATTATTATATAATAAATTTACCGATTTAAACGTTAAATCGTTGATTAATATAAAAATAACATATAGAGATCGTTTGGATTAAAGATAATTTAAGTAATCTAGATCGATTTGTAAATGATTAAATATTATATACGTTTTAATTAACCCCTTGAATCATTAATTTATTTTCTATTATTGATTTACGAAAATTTTTTTAGTAATTTTTATTTTTATTTCTTTATTATACTTATATGTATACGTATAGTTTTGTTAAAAAAAAATATTAAGAAGTTTTTATAAACAAAAATAAATAATCGTGATAATCAGAACACACAAAAAAATTTTTGAAATTATTTATATTTTAAAAATATAAAAATCCAACTATCAATGAGTCAAAGGGTTAAGTAAAACTTAATTATATTAATATAATTGTATTTAATAAACAAAAAATAATAATCTCGATATTATATCTTACATAATTATTATTATTTTTTAACTTATTCTAATTTGATAAATTTGCAATACTTGTCGACCGCAAAATCAATTATAGAAAAATTACTTATTAAAGTAAATGAATAAACAATTCACTAATAAAATTAATGTAGTTTTTTATCTTCTGTTTTAAGGAATAAATATTTTTTAATTAGTTAAAATATTATTACACAATAACAACAACAGCAACAAAATAAACAAAAGATATTTTTGTTGAATTCAAATTATAAGCTCATTAAAATTTATTTTATTAGATCTAAGTCTTAAAAAATTAAGCCTATGGGGGCTTTTTATAATATATATTAATAGAAACAATCAATTATTGTTAATTGCGTTATAAAATTGTCAAAATTGTTTTATAGAATAGGTAAGATTAATATAATTATATTATATTGATTAATTAATTAAATAAATTTGAATTCTCATTAATAGTAACATACTTAGAATGATATATAAATTGAAATTACAATAATTAACAAATAAAATTAGCTTGTTTTTACTTTATCTGTGATTCTTCGCTATATAACATCTCGTTTACCCAGACATTAACTTTATAACATACAAATAAATTTAATAACAAGCGTACAACTAACGAATTTTTATTTCATTTTCGTATTAACAATTAATATTATTTTCATTGATAATAACTTGGAGGTTTTTAAAATAATAATTGAAATATCTGTTAATTTATATTAATTTTTGTGTTGTAAATTTCTTCAATAAAAAGCATAAAAAAAATTAGTCTCTAATTATTTTATTTTGTTTTATAAATTTATTATTCTTTATAAGTTCTTATCAGTTAAAAACTTGTCAAAGTTAATTGTAAAAATTCATTGTGTTAAATTTAGTAAAAATTGTAACAAACAAAATTGAAATATTTATTTAATTGATTCCAGCCGAAAAAAAAAATTGTTTTCATAATTATATAAAAATATAAACTTGAAACAATAACAAATTCAATTTATTGAAAAAAAAAATTTGACATTGAAATTAATTTTCAATTTATTGGTTTTTTTTTTGTTCAAATAAATTATAAAAAAATTGCACGTATAAATTTAAAAATTTTTCATCAGTGTATTTTTTTTTCAAGAATTCACATGAAAATTAAATTAGCCATTTAAAAATTTTGATAATTTATTTCATTGAAAAATATTTTTTAAAAAATTAAAACGAAAATTTTCACATGTAGAAAATTTAAAAAATTATCCGTGGAATTTTTTAAAAATAGTTTTTTAGTTCTAATTTTTAATTTAAAAAAAAAATCAAAAATTTTTTGTGTCGGCTAACTTAATTTTCATGAGCTCACTCGTGAAAAAAAAAAAAAAAAAAAAAAATTACCAGATGTCTGGTTCCTATTTTTTTTCAGTGTCATGAAACCGTTTGAATGAACTGGAACTGATAAAATAGTGATATGCGATAGCATTCAAAGTTGGCGCTACCGGATAATTCAGTGTGTGATATAAAATATGGTGGTTGAAAAGTGTGTTGATTTAGATCTTTCCCCTTACGTCTTTCGCGTCTGACGTCGTGGTCTTTTGGAACCGCCACCTCGCCAAAAAAATGCTGCTGCTCCATCCTGCGTCTTCCTTCTATATGTATACCATCCGTATCATCCATCCGTATTGTGGGTACCTTTAGTTTCATTTGGAAGGTTATAGATTCATGCTTATATTTGGGGTGTGGCATCTTATTTCGATAAATAATAATTAATAAGTTGTCTAAATTAACCATCACGTGACTTGTGATTTTGTTTATTAACACCGTACACAGTCTCACATAATCTATTGTATCAAAGTTTCATTGTCCAAATTTCAAGGTTTAAGTGTTGTCATCAGTGTTGACTATATATCTATGTACATTTGCTAATTATTTTATTGTTATTAATATAATTATTATCACCGTAATCTGAGTGGTAGAAAAAATTTAATTCAGCACAATTTAACAAGCTAATTATCAAAACCTGTAAAAGTATATTGCTGATAGTAATGATTACAAGTGATATTACCAAGTGTTATAGGTTAAATATAATTTGCATTCATCAAATACTACTAAGATGATTCATATAAATAAATCAGTTTCTATTGTAAGGAGTCTGCAGCAACACCATCAGCTATTGTCGGGCTCATATTTAAAGATTTTAAATTAAAAGTTCATGAAACCGCGAGTTATATTTAAGCTGTGGGATGTTGAATACCGTCTGTTCCCCACAGCCTCCAGAATACACCGAGATGTCTCGGTTAGCAGATTATTTTGTGGTCGTTGGTTACGATCACGGTAAAGAAAGTAAGTTTAACATAACAATAACAAATAACACCTTGTTGTTTTTCTAAATAATTAATAATTATTTATTTTATTTTCTATTAAAGGAGCTGGAACAAGCAATGGGATTATTGTCCAGAGATTTCCTGAAAAAGACTGGCCCGATACTCCATTTATTGAAGGTATCGAATGGGTAAGTAATTTTCAAAAAAGTATATTTACCAAATTTAATGTCAGTAAATCATCTAATTTATTTATTTATTTATTTATTTATTAGTTTTGCCAGCCACAAGGATGGGCACTTTCGACAGAACGACAGGAGCCACGTTTTTTCGTTTCAATCCTCACAGATATAGATGCAAACCGTCATTACTGTGCGTGTATGTGTTTCAATGAAACTGTATCAATCGTTCCGAGTAAACCGGTTGATGAAGAGGAAGAACCTGTTGATGGAGTTAATCGTACATTAGTTAGAGCTATTCCAGCAATTACACATCATAGTATTATGTATGCGCCAAAATGCCTGGTATTAGTTTCAAGATTGGATTACATCGAAACCTTTCGGGTACTGATTAGCTTACCTTTATTTTTAGCTCTGATAAAAAACCCAATTATTGACACTGCCCTAGTTGTTTGACACTTGCAATTTTATTCTAATTAAAAAAAATCAATGTTCTCAATAAATCAATTTTCTTAAAATTTATGATTCATAAATTATACACTGAAAAAAAAATTAACTTGAAGAGTTAAGAAAATAATTTTGAAGAGGGTAATTGTTTTGAATCAAGTAAAATTTACTTAAACCAAGTAAAAATTTCTTAGTTTGAAAATTTTTTTACTTAAATCAAGAAGATGAAGTTCTTCAAAATTGTATACTTGTTCAAGAACATTTTTTTTCTGCGTTATTTATTAATTTATTAGAGAATTTGTTTTTTTTTTTAATTAAAATAAAATTGCAAGTGTCAATAACTGAGTCTTTTACCTTATATAAATTATTTTATGGTTGCGAATAAATTTATTGTTAAACTAGATTCCACATATTTATAAATATCTTTTTTTAGAATTGTTTGGGTATTATTTACACGGTGTACGTTGAAAATCATGAAATTCCTCTGGAAACATTGGTTGGCAATATACTGGGATGTATCCAAGTACCGCCAGCAGGTGGTCCGCAAGTTCGTTTTAGTATAGGTGCTGGTGATCGGCAGGCTTTACAGCCGCCGATAAGCCCATCTCTTCCAATTACTCATACTAGTGTTAATTTATTATTCCAACAATTAGGTAAATAAATTTTTTTTTATTTAATATGATACAGCAATTTAATATACATTTCTTTAAATTAATCATTATTACTTACAGGAATCCGCAATGTATTAGTATTATTTTGTGCGGTAATGACCGAACACAAAATTTTATTTCATTCTGCTAGCTATTCTAGACTTACCGAAAGTTGTCGAGCGCTTACTGCATTAATGTATCCATTTCGATATACTCACGTATACATTCCATTATTACCTGCTGCTCTTGTTGAAATTCTCAGCACGCCAACACCGTTTATTATGGGTGTACATAGTTCTTTAAAGCACGAGACAGCTGAACTTGTAAGTAATATTATTAACTACTATATTATGTATTGAATAATATGGATAACAATAATTAATACAATATTTGTATGTTAATTTCAGATGGACGTCATAGTAGCTGACTTAGATGGTGGTTCAATTATGGTACCCGACGGATTATCTCTAGCTCTTCTTCCTGAGCCACTGTTATCACAGACACAAGACGCTTTATCACTTGTTCTTCAGCCACAGCTCACTTCCGCGGATCACGCATTTCCTCCTGCGGTTGTCACAGCTACAGATCCCCCAATGTTAGATAAAGAATTAAGAGCGGTATTTATGAGAACTTTTGCACAATTATTACAAGGATATCGTAGTTGTCTTACATTGATTCGAATTCATCCTAAACCAGTTATTACATTTCACAAGGTTTGTTTTTATTTCAGTATTTTAACCGATTAATAATAGAAAAAATAAAAAAAAAAAATAATTATTATTATTTTTTGTTACTTAGGCGGCATTTGTTGGTGAACGAGGTCTTACTGATTGTGATTTCACTATTAGAGTATTAGATTGCATGTTCTTTACTTCTTTCATCGCTGAACGTGGTCCACCATGGCGACCTTGTGATATTTGGGACGAATTGTATAGTAATATTAGTGATCAGCTCAAACAAGAATCTCAGGATCATGGTAATTTAAAAAAAAAAAAATTAATTATCTATTATTTAATTTATTCAACTTGTTATATCAGTAATAATAATTGCCATTTAAATAAATTTAGGATTGGTATTGACCCATATACAAGAATTAGCTAAACAATTAGACAAAAATGAAAATCCCAATCCACAAATGTATGTACAAAAAATCTTAAAGCCACCAGAAGGTGCTTTTGCAAGAATACATCAGCCGGAGTTTCCACATATTAATTCCGAGCAAGTTCAAGCAATTATTGACGAAGGTTTAACGAAAAATAATTTAAAAGTACGTTTATCAACACTTCAACCGAGAATTGTGCCATCAGGTCCTCACATATCGATGGTCCATGACACTAGACATTTAGTTAGTAACTCAGCCCGTAGACTAGAAGTACTTCGTAGTTGTGTTAATTGTATTTTTGAAAATAAAATATCAGATGCTCGTAAAACATTTCCAGCAGTATTACGCGCATTAAAGAGCAAAACTGCTCGTTTAGCGTTATGTATGGAATTATCTCAACATGTTATCGGCAATAAAGCAATGCTCGAACATCAGCAATTTGATTTGGTTGTGCGTTTAATGAATTGCGCGTTACAAGATGACTCAGCTATGGATGAACACGGTGTAGCTGCAGCTTTACTCCCCCTAGCAACGGCATTTTGCCGGAAATTATGCACCGGAGTGATACAATTTGCATATACCTGCATTCAAGAGCATGCTGTATGGCAAAATCAACAATTCTGGGAAGATGCTTTTTATCAAGACGTACAGAAAGACGTAAAACGTTTGTATTTGCCGGCTGATAACTTAATGAGGCTGGGAAACGAGGGACTGATTAGTCCAATTAGCCCAAGAGAGTATAAAGAATTTTCATTACGTGATCGTACTTCAATGTACCGGAGTCAGGAGCCATCAGCGTTAGAAATAGCCGCTGAACAAATGAGAATATGGCATACTATTGATCCGGATAAACAAAAAGAGCTTGTTGCAAGTGAAGAAAGCACGATGTACAGTCAAGCTATTCATTATGCTAATAGAATGGTCTATTTACTGGTCCCACCAGACATCAGTGCTAAAACACATCGACAAGATCACGTTTATGATGATGAAAGAACAAGCAATAGCGTCACTAATAGGTAAATTATTATCATTTTATTTTGATTATTTCAATGTTAAATTAAATATCATTTTACATATATCAGCTTTGATATTTATTTATTGAATTATATTTTTAAAATAGCGTACCAAGCGATAGTGGCGATGCGGAATCAGGTTTCGAGGAAACTGATCCCGGCGAGACAGGCATCGCTGTGATAAGAATGGTATCACGATTCGTCGATCGTGTTTGCACAGAAGGCGGTGTCAGTGCTGATCATGTTCGATGCCTTCATCAAATGGTTCCGGGTGTCGTTCACATGCACATTGAGACTCTTGAGGCGGTTTACCGTGAAAGTAAAACATTACCACCGATTCAAAAGGTATTTGAATGTCAACAATTATTATTTGCATAACTTAATCTTGGGAATTTGGACAATAAATTAAAATATTAAATTATAAGAATTGCAATGTTTCGGTGATTTATTTCAGCTTCATCAAGCAAACTAAAAATCAAAAAATAATTTTTAGTTAATATAAACATTTGATATATAAAATAAAAATAAATGAAAATGACAATAGTTAGCATCCTCGTCTATTTTTTACAAAGTCAATAGATGTAACAGAGTAAAACAGCATGTTCATAATCTCAAACATTTTTTTTTAAATTACAATATTAATTGTCATTTTAATTTATTTTTCTTTTATACGTCAAATGTTTGTATTAATTAAAAATTATTTTTTGATTTTTAGTTAGTCTGATGCTGAAATAAATTAGCAAAACGTTGCAACTCTTATCATTTAATATCTTGATTTATTGTCCAAATTTCCAAGATTAAATTATTTAAATATTTTAAATACGGACGAGAACTTATAATATTATTATTTGCATTCATAATAAACTAATTTTTATATCATTATTATTATTATTATTATAGCCGAAAATACTCACACCGAACATGTTACCTGGTGAGGAAGTTATAATGGATGGTTTGAGAGTTTATCTTCTTCCGGATGGACGAGAAGAAAGCGTAGTAGGTCTTCCTAGAACACCACCACTCTTACCTGCCGAAGGTGCTATATTCCTCACTAATTATCGGATAGTATTTAAGGGTACACCTTGTGATCCATTTGGTAAGTTAAAATTCTTTTGATCTAATAAAGACAGTTTTATTTAGTTCAGTAAAATTAATTTTAATAAATTATTTAATAGCCTGTGAGCAAATGGTTGTACGAGCTTTTCCAGTTACCTCTTTGACAAAAGAAAAGCGCTGTGCAGTTCAACATCTAGTTCATCTGGATCAATGCCTTCAAGAAGGTTTACAATTACGCTCATGCACTTTCCAACTTATTAAATTAGCTTTTGATGAAGAAGTTACGCCAGAGAATATTGACACGCTGAGAAAACTTGTTAATAAAGCACGGTATCCACCTCATATATTCCATCATTTTGCATTTAACGGACAAATTCTTGTTGCGCCAACGTCGCATCAAAAAGGAAAAGAAAAAAATGCAACATTAAAGTTAGTTTCGTAATTAATTAACTACATTAATTATTTAAAAGATTCACTTATTTATGTAAAAAAAAAAAAATTTATAAAAAAAATGCTTCAATTTTAAATAATAATTTTTATTTCAGGGGTTTTGCTAAAAAAACTCTGCTTAAAACAGCGAGAAAGGCTGGTTTTAAGCCTAAACAATCATCGAAAAGACAAAAATATGTACTACCTAATATGAATCTCAATAGTGGGAATAAATATATGACTTCGCCAGGTAGAATGAGTCTTCCTGTGACTGACAATAATGATTTGAGTCATGATGACGATCTTAGCAGTAAGTTAATTAATAATTGGATATTTATTTGAATTTTAATAACTATTTAAATAATAATAATACTAAATTAATAAATTTTCAGTTGACGAATTTGAAGTTACTGGTTTTATAACAGCTCCACCAACCGACGCTAAGACTTTAGAACGATTATCAGAGCGTAGTTACGTTAGAGATTGGTATAGATTAGGTCTAAGCCCAAATAACTTACACAATAATCGCCGAAATGAACCATTTCGATTGACCTCTGTGAACTGTGCATACATGATGTGTCGTAGTTATCCAGCATTGCTTGTTGTACCAAATTTAATAACCGATGAAAGTATCAGAAGATTTTGTCGCTTGTACAGACACAGTCGCATGCCAGTTGCAACGTGGCGACATCCACGAACAAAAGCTTTGTTAATACGCGGAGCTGGTTACCACGGAAAAGGAGTTATAGGAATGTTAAAAGCCCATCCATCAACAGCGACCAATCTTAAAACAACTTCATCTGAAACAACATCTACCTTAGAGCAAGAAAAATATTTAATGGCATTAGTTGCAGCTACTCCGGCTGCTGTTTTACGCCAAGGCTCTGCATGGGGAATGTCCGACAGTTCTCTGAGTATCGACTCTTTACTGATTGCCGCAGAAGACAGGAACAATCCTACTCCTGAACAATCAAGAAGAAATCCATTTAATAAAGCAATTGGTACTTTGAGTTCATCTGCCGGAAAAGGTCCCAAGAATTTCGGTCGCTGGGGTTCTTTGAAAGACAAACGACATAATTCCCAAGCTTCTTTGACATCTGTAAATCAACGTGGTACTGTCAGACATTCAGCAGACTCTGACAGTGGTACTGAGTGTGTACATACTTTCCAAAGAGCAGCTCTCTACATTCTAGGTGAAAAAGCCCATATGAGAGGAGTTAAAGCCGAGTCATCACCAAAAATAGATTTTATACCCGTGGAATATTGTGATTTAAGACACACTAAAACGGCGTTTAAAAAATTAATGCGAGCATGTATACCCAGTTCGTCTAATGTTGAACCAGATCAAAGTTTTTACAAGCTTATTGAGAGCTCTGAATGGTTACAACAGCTACAGAACTTGATGCAACTTTCTGGTGCTGTAATTGATCTTATGGATGTTCAGGGCTCATCAGTGGCTATTTGCTTGGAGGACGGATGGGATACTACAACAACAGTGTGTTCTGTTGCTCAAATATGTCTCGATCCTCACTACCGTACCATTGAAGGTTTTAGAACTCTAATTGAAAAAGAATGGCTCGGCTTTGGACACAGATTTGGCCATCGCAGTAACTTGGCTGCCAATTCACAAACTGCTAATTTTACTCCGACGTTCTTGCAATTTCTCGATATCGTTCATCAAATTCAGAAGCAGTTCCCTCTAGCTTTTGAATTTAACGATTATTATCTTAGATTTTTGGCTTATCATTCAGTATCCTGTCGTTTCCGTACCTTTTTATTGGATTGTGAGTTCGATCGAGTCGAGTGCGGTATAACAGCTGTTGAAGACAAGCGTGGATCGCTTACGAGCCACCACAAAGGCGTAGATACTGGCAGCGATGACGAAATTGTTTATCCAGGTGGCAGGCTAGCCGGCACAAATATCGGTTGTAATCTTGGTCTAAGTATTTTTGATTACATTGAAAAACAGCACGCAAGATGCCCGCTATTTTTCAATTTTATGTACACACCAAATTCGGAACATCCTGTACTGAGACCTGTTTCCCATTTACCAAGCTTAGACATCTGGCAGTATTACTTCGAAGAGGAATTAGCTCACGGCCCGGCGTATGATCTTGAAATACTTCAGCAAGATTCACAGCAAGAGGAAGAATCTGAAGCTGCTGACGGTACCGCTAAAAGTAGTCGTAAAATAGTTACTTTAGGATACGACAATGTAAATAGTATGGTACCTGATCAATTTACGCACCTGCTTGAAGAGATCCATAAATTAGAAACAGAACTAGGTCATCTGCCACAAAAGTGGAAAATTCTTTGGGATAAATTAGAATTACCTAATACAGATTCACTTGCACGTCATGTGTCTTTCAGTACAGCGTTGGTTAGATATCATGGTAGATTAATTCACAAGCGTTCAACATTAGAATTGTTATTGCGAGGCAAGTTGGCTGGTGGTAACAGTACAGGAAATGAAAGCTCTGTTTACGCACATCCTCATAGATTTGAGAGACTAGATACCGCGACACCGACGCACTGTGATGCTTGCTCTGGTGTTTTGTGGGGACCAGTCAAAGCCGGGTTAAGATGTGTTGACTGCGGTCATATATGTCACGACAAGTGTGCTGACAGTGTACCCAAAAATTGTACCAAATACAAAACTGCTGCTGATAACTTGCAATCTCACACTCTTACACGTAGTGGAAATGATACTGGAAGTGTCAACTCAAGTGTTGCTACTATTCAAACATCTTCCCAACAATACTATGAACAGTTTTCAAGTAATGTTGCTGAAAACCGCACCCACGAAGGCTACTTGTATAAACGTGGGGCGCTATTAAAAGGTTGGAAGCAACGATGGTTTGTTCTTGATTGTATTAAACATCAGTTGAGATATTATGATGCAATGGAAGACTCTCATTGTAAAGGTTACATAGGTAGATATTTGCTTTTCAAAATTATTTATTATTATTTATAATTTACAGACAGAAAATATTATATTATGTCAATTTATTTTATATACAGATCTAGCTGAAGTAGTTTCAGTTAATCCAGCAGCACCAACACCGGGACCACCGAAGAAAACCGATGATAAGTCATTTTTTGATGTGAGTATTGATTGGAAAAAAAAAAAATTATTTCTGCATCATTTTTATGATTATCAATATTTTATTGCACGCCTCATAAGCGAAGCGTTGAGGTAGTGCTCTACTCTCGACATTTCAAAAAAAGCAGTCACTAATATCAAGTCAAATAATTTGTCAGGCACATAAAATTTATTTCAATAACAATTATTTTGTTTAACAGAGTAAATAATAACATTAAAAATAATCTTTTCTGGACGTCCGAGTGTCTGTGTTTATAGATTGGTATATGTGGCAAAGAAATTGGTCAAAAAAATGATCGTACCGGAATAATTTTTTTTTTTATTATCTAAAGTAACACACGACGGACTTTCTCAATCAATATGAGTGTTCAATTCACTGTCGTTAAATTATTATTTATAAAAAACTAATATATGACTGTGGATTTTTTTTGTATATTTATCTATACATTTTATTATAGTATTTTTTTTTCCTCATCTAAGAATTATGGCACCACTAAACCATAGCAGAGTTTTCTGTTTTTTATTATTTTGCTTTTTATATTTTATTTTTATCAATTTTATTGTGAAAAATGAGATTATGAGGTGTGCACTTGTGGATTTTCCAAACTTTTTATTTTTCAATTAAGCAAAATTTTATCTAATATTTTTATTTTTAGCTCCGTACAAATAGGCGTACATATAACTTTTGTGCGGGAGATGCTGCTACAGCCCAAGAATGGATAGAAAAAGTTCAAGCGTGCTTGCAGTAATTTTACCTGATGATAATAATAATAATACTCTTTTAGTTTAGTATCAAATGTCTCAAAATCATAACATGCAAGTGACTGATAACGTAATTTAAGATTATCTTAATTTTGTTACATATTTTTTGTATAGCCTAATAGTGTACGATATATCATTATTATATTATATTAAGAAAAAAAATTTTTTTTTTGTTTTTTTTTTTATTTCAAAAAGACAATTGCTATATTAAATTTATGACTATGACGATGTATTGAATGAGGTTCGATGTATGTGAAAATTTAATGCATTACTCAACGCCTACTTAACAATCGAATAAGATATTTATGTATTATAACTATGCTGAATTCAACTTATATATAACATAAAAAAAAAAAAAGAAAAAAAAATATCAAAGAAAATATAATTTCATTAATTGTTGGCTATTTAATTTTGTCATAGCTACTGACTCTAAAATAATTTTTTATAATTTTTGCCATGTATTATTTAAAATATAAAAATTAATACTATAAAACAAAATTTAAAATACAAGAGGGTGATGATGCTGATAAATATAAAATGTTTATATAGGCTATTATTTTAAACTGTTTAAATATTTATTCTAGTTAACTATTATTTTGTCTATCAAAGTTATTTTTAAATTTAATTATTAATTATTTTTAACTTGTAAAATATTTGTTAGCAAGAAGTAAATTTTTTAACAATTAATGTATCACAATAAATTGCAATTGTGTATGTAAGATTATTTTTTAAATTTGAATTTACCAGAAAAATAAAATCCCTAAACCTTTAGTTACTTTTTTTGGCGCTATTGGTGCCAGTGAGTGTAGTGATTCAATGGATATATTTCCTTTTACCTTATAACGCCAAGAACACAACACGTGTCGTGTTATAATTTCCAATATTTGAGTGAATTACTCAGAAAAAAAGTTAGTATTTATATTAAATGTTATTATTTAAATTCCGCAATTTATTTTACTTTGTTTTTCATCATTACTTTTCGTAAAATACATTGGTTCTGCGGCTAAATAAATCCACGCGCACTCACATGTCCATATTTTTTTTTTTCCTATATTTTAATTGTTAAATAATTAATATTTATGCTAATTTAATTAATTATTTTAAATTATTGCATTAAAATAATTATTATTATAACAATCATCATATAAAAAGTTGGTGAATAATTTTATTTAGTACATTTAATGTTTCATAACCTAAAAAGTTCTAGTGAGCTCAATTGTTATACATCGACAGTCGTATATTTTTTTCATCTGCTAGCCGAAAGTATGACTTAGTGTTAATTCGTTAAAATTCACATATAAAAAATTTTAAGCACCGATGAGTAATAATAATATTTATATATTTGAGTTTTCTGAGCCGGAATTAGCTTATATTTGACAATTGTCATTTATTTATTTTTTTTTTTTATGTGTATTAATCATGATTTGTTGATTGCAGAATGCCGCTCGCTGTAGATTATCTGCACCCATCTCCTCAAGAGGAAAAGAGGAAGCACAAGTTGAAGAGGTTGGTCCAAAAGCCTAACAGCTACTTTATGGATGTCAAATGTCCAGGATGCTACGCCATAAAGACTATTTTTTCACACGCTCAACGACCAGTTGAATGTGACGGCTGCCGCACAATTTTGTGCACACCCACCGGTGGAAAAGCTCGTTTAACCGAAGGATGCTCCTTCAGAAGAAAAGTACAGTGTTAAATACAGTGTTGTGCTAAATTTCTTACATCTCTTTTCAATGGTAAAATACATTTCAACAACATCTTCAGCTAAATTAACAATCAATAATAATGTACAATTTCCAGTCTTGTATCTGTTTCGCTCGACTATTGAGAATAAATCTTGAAAAGAGTTAAGTCTTTTTCAAATAATTTTCTGAATTTTATTTATTCATTCCTGTCATATTTCTTAGCTGTAATTTTAATTTTTAATTGACTTAGTTCAGAGCAATTGGCAATAAGTTTTTTGATTTTTTTTTTCTTATGTTTTGTTTTTAATTCAAATTTTTTTTCAGAGCTGATTTATATTTTCGAAAAAATCAACTAAAAAAAAATGTTGTAATTAAAGTTATTTTTAAAAATAGTAGTTGCGCAATAAGATGAAATTCTTCATGTGTAAAGCATTTTGTCTTAGTTTCTATGGAAATTAATACTAAGTTTTATATATTTTAGAAAAAAATTAAGTAAATATCGCCATTAGAGTGACTTTTAAATCTAAATATTTTTGGAAATATGTTATTCAAATTTTTATTGTAATATTATTCATTTTTATATTGTAATATTTATGGAAAATCTAATTAATTGATTCAATTTCAATTAAATCTCGCTCAAAATTTTAAATTATAATATTTGTACCACTTGAAACTTTTTAGATTAAATATTGATAATAAGATAATTATTTATAATAGTAAAGTTAGCCGACGTTGTTAATTTTTTGAGTTTTTTTTTTTTAATTATTAAATTAGAATTAAATAATATTTTTTAAAAAATTGCACTTAGGTATAGTTTTTAAAGTTTTTTAAAATTGAATTTTTTTTTTAATAAAAAAAATTCTAAAAAATTTTAGATGTTGGCTAACTTAATTTTTATTAATTATTTATATTCAGATTATCGTTGCACAATAAAATGAAACTTATACTTCATCTAACGACACAGTAAAATTATCATTTTTTTAGTATTTGTCATATTTTCAATGTTTTTATCCCAAATAAAAAAACTGAAGCAAGTCATTACACCAAAGTATAAAATTTTTTAATTTATTTACAAAATATTAAAAAATAATTTAGGAACTGAAATGAAAAATTAATTAATCTAAATTGACATTAAATATTTTAGTAAGAATAAGCGTTTTGTCTCGAAATTTCCGATACTCAAAGGCCTTTGGTTTTTTGATTTCGCTTTCGGAGTTGGTTGAAACCTCAGTGAACTTGATGATCAATTCATCGGTGTCTTTTTCAACCGTCAAGTACCATATATTGTCAAAGTACAATGGATAAGGAGTACTTTGTAAACTGGTACCGGTTACTGAAGCGCAAAGAAGTACTTGACATTTTTTAATTCTCGCACAGGCGTTTACAGAGTCATGCAAAACAGCGCATAATTTAGCTATATGCATATCTTCAAGTTCAGTGTTTTGCACACCTTTGATGTAAGTATCGAGATTATCTACTAAAATTAGCGATGGAAGTTTTGAAAAAGTATGCAAGTCTACCAGTTGTTCTGCTAATACATCATAAGTTTCAAGATATCTGTAAGTACAAAGATAAAAAATACATACATTTATCAATAAATCAATAAAACTTGTTTGTAATTCATAGAAATACGTACAGAAATTTGATCATATCATATATTGCGGGCGGTACATCTTTTCGGTCATGATACTGGGCGGGAAAAGATTTCAATGGACTTGGAGTGATGAAGAAAACTAAATTCCCTTTTTCTGCCCAATGCATAGCAGCCTAATGGATAAAAATTAATAGTATATTGTGTGACTAGGGATGAAATCATGTTTTATATTATATTTTTCATATAATTGGTATTAAAAAAGCAAGTTTTAATGTCTGGAGTCAATCAGAATTAGAGAATTTATATTGAAAGACATCTGATCGATCTGGTGTATTTAGTCTTGGTCAGTATTGGTCTTGCTCATTTACTCTAACTTACTTTTTGTGTCATTTTGATAATTTTTTAATGTTTATTTATAAATATGAAATATAAATGATCATCAATTTATATCTATAATTAATTAAACTTTATTTCACAATAATCAACAAATTTTATTATATTCTATTTATTTTAATACTCATAAATTATTATTATTATTATTATTATTATTATTATTATTATTATTATTATTATTATTATTAT